GAGTAGACGCGCAACTCCGGGAAATCACGGGCGCCGGAATGGCATGCGTGAGAGTGAGAGGCTGTGCGAAAGAAGGGGGGTGAGCCTTGTACTCACGCATGTCACTTCCAGGAAGCGCATGACAACGCGGCCAAAATACAATCGCAGGTTCACAAGACCCAGGGGATATGGGGAATAGACGCGCAACTCCGGGAAATCAGGGGCGCCGGAGTGGCATGCGTGAGAGTGAGAGGCTGTTCGATACAAGGGGGGTGAGCCTTATACTCACGCATGCCACCTCCAGGAAACGCATGACAACGCGGCCAAAATACAATCCCAGGTTTACTAGACCCAGGGGAGTTGGGGAATAGACGGGCAACTCCGGCAAATCACGGGCGCCGGAGTGCCATGCGTGATAGTGAGAGGCTCTGCACTATGAGGCACATGCGCGAAAGAAGGGGGGTGAGCCTTGTACTCACGCATGCCACTTCCAGGAAGCGCATGACAACGCGGCCAAAACGGAGTCCCAGGTTCACAAGACCCAGGGGAGTTGGGGAATAGACGGGCAACTCCGGCAAATCACGGGCGCCGGAGTGCCATGCGCGAGAGTGAGAGGCTCTGCACTATGAGGCACATGCGCGAAAGAAGAGGGGTGAGCCTTGTACTCACGCATGCCACTTCCAGGAAACGCATGGCAACGCGTCCAAAATGAAATCCCAGGTTTACAAGACCCAGGGGAAGTGGGGAATAGACGCGCAACTCCGGGAAATCACGGGCGCCAGAGTGGCATGCATTAGAATGAGAGGCTGTAAGAAAGAAGGGGGGTGAGCCTTGTACTCAAGTATGCCACCTCCAGGAAACGCATGACAACGTGGCCAAAACACGATCGCAGGTTCACAAGACCCAGGGGAGTTGGGAAATAGACGCGCAACTCCGGGAAATCACGGGCGCCGGAGTGGCATGCGCGAGAGTGAGAGGCTGTGCACTATGAGGCACATGTGCGAAATAAGGGGGGTGAGCCTTGTACTCACGCATGCCACTTCAAGGAAACGCATGACAACGCGGCCGAAATGGAATCCCAGGTTCACCAGACCCAGGGGAGTTGGGGACTAGACGCGCAAAACCGGGAAATCACGGGCGCCGGAGTGGCATGCGTGAGAGTGAGAGGCTGTGCGATAGAAGGGGGGTGAGCCTTGTATTCACGCATGGCACTTCCAGGAAACGCATGACAACGCGGCCAAAATACAATCCCAGGTTCACAAGACCCAGGGGAGTTAGGGAATAGACGTGCAACTCCGGGAAATCACGGGCGCCGGAGTGGCATGCGTGACAGTGAGGGGCTGTGCACTATGAGGAACATGCGCGAAAGAAGGGGGGTGAGCCTTGTACTCACGCATGCCACTTTCAGGAAACGCATGAAAACGCGGCCAAAATAGAATCCCAGGTTTACAAGACCCAGGGGAGTTGGGGAATAGACGCGCAACTCCTGGAAATCACGGGCGCCGGAATGGCATGCGTGAGAGTGAGAGGCTGTGCACTCTGAAGCACATGCGCGAAAGAAGGGGGGTGAGACTTGTACTCACGCATGCCACTTCCAGGAAACGCATTACAACGCGGCGAAAATAGAATCCCAGGTTCACCAGAGCGAATGGACTTTGGGAATAGACGCGCAACTCCGGGAAATAACGGGCGCCGGAGTGTCATGCGTGAGAGTGAAGCCACATGCACTCTAAGGCACCTGTGCGAAACAAGGGGTGAGCCTTGCACGCACGCATGCCACTTCTAGGAAACGCATTTTTACGCGGCCAGAATGGAATCCTAGGTTCACCAGAGACAAGGAACTTGGAATTAGACGCGCACCCCGGGAAATCAGGGGCGCCGGAGTGGCATGCGTGAGAGTGAGAGGGTGTGCACCATGAGGCACATGTGCGAAACAAGGGACGAGACTTGTACGCACGCATGCCACTTCTAGGAAATGCATGACAACGCAGCCAAAATGGAGTCCGAGGTTCACCAGAGCCAAGGGACTTTGGGAATAGACGCGCAACTCCAGGAAATCACGGGTACCGGAGTGGCATGCGTGAGAGTGAGAGGGTGTGCACCATGAGGCACATGTGCGAAACAAGGGACGAGACTTGTACGCACGCATGCCACTTCTAGGAAATGCATGACAACGCAGCCAAAATGGAGTCCGAGGTTCACCAGAGCCAAGGGACTTTGGGAATAGACGCGCAACTCCAGGAAATCACGGGTACCGGAGTGGCATGCGTGAGAGTTAGAGGCTGTGCACTATGAGGCACATGTGCGAAACAAGGGGCTAGCCTTGCACGCACGCACGCATGCCACTTCTAGGAAAGGCATGACAACGCGGCCAAAATGGAATCCCAGGTTTACCAGAGCCAAGGGACTTTGGGAATAGACGCGCAACTCCAGGAAATCACGGGTACCGGAGTGGCATGCGTGAGAGTGAGAGGGTGTGCACCATGAGGCACATGTGCGAAACAAGGGACGAGACTTGTACGCACGCATGCCACTTCTAGGAAATGCATGACAACGCAGCCAAAATGGAGTCCGAGGTTCACCAGAGCCAAGGGACTTTGGGAATAGACGCGCAACTCCAGGAAATCACGGGTACCGGAGTGGCATGCGTGAGAGTGAGAGGGTGTGCACTATGAGGCACATGTGCGAAACAAGCGGTGAGCCTTGCAGCAACGCATGCCACTTCTAGGAAGCGCATGACAACCAACACGGTCAAAATGGAATCCAATGTCTACCACACCCAAGGGAGTTTGGGAAAAGACGTGCAAATCCGGGAAATCAGGGGCGCCGGAATGGCATGCGTGAGAGTGAGAGGGTGTGCACTATGAGGCACATGTGCGAAACAAGCGGTGAGCCTTGCAGCAACGCATGCCACTTCTAGGAAGCGCATGACAACCAACACGGTCAAAATGGAATCCAATGTCTACCACACCCAAGGGAGTTTGGGAAAAGACGTGCAAATCCGGGAAATCAGGGGCGCCGGAATGGCATGCGTGAGAGTGAGAGGGTGTGCACTATGAGGCACATGTGCGAAACAAGCGGTGAGCCTTGCAGCAACGCATGCCACTTCTAGGAAGCGCATGACAACCAACACGGTCAAAATGGAATCCAATGTCTACCACACCCAAGGGAGTTTGGGAAAAGACGTGCAAATCCGGGAAATCAGGGGCGCCGGAATGGCATGCGTGAGAGTGAGAGGGTGTGCACTATGAGGCACATGTGCGAAACAAGCGGTGAGCCTTGCAGCAACGCATGCCACTTCTAGGAAGCGCATGACAACCAACACGGTCAAAATGGAATCCAATGTCTACCACACCCAAGGGAGTTTGGGAAAAGACGTGCAAATCCGGGAAATCAGGGGCGCCGGAATGGCATGCGTGAGAGTGAGAGGGTGTGCACTATGAGGCACATGTGCGAAACAAGCGGTGAGCCTTGCAGCAACGCATGCCACTTCTAGGAAGCGCATGACAACCAACACGGTCAAAATGGAATCCAATGTCTACCACACCCAAGGGAGTTTGGGAAAAGACGTGCAAATCCGGGAAATCAGGGGCGCCGGAATGGCATGCGTGAGAGTGAGAGGGTGTGCACTATGAGGCACATGTGCGAAACAAGCGGTGAGCCTTGCAGCAACGCATGCCACTTCTAGGAAGCGCATGACAACCAACACGGTCAAAATGGAATCCAATGTCTACCACACCCAAGGGAGTTTGGGAAAAGACGTGCAAATCCGGGAAATCAGGGGCGCCGGAATGGCATGCGTGAGAGTGAGAGGGTGTGCACTATGAGGCACATGTGCGAAACAAGCGGTGAGCCTTGCAGCAACGCATGCCACTTCTAGGAAGCGCATGACAACCAACACGGTCAAAATGGAATCCAATGTCTACCACACCCAAGGGAGTTTGGGAAAAGACGTGCAAATCCGGGAAATCAGGGGCGCCGGAATGGCATGCGTGAGAGTGAGAGGGTGTGCACTATGAGGCACATGTGCGAAACAAGCGGTGAGCCTTGCAGCAACGCATGCCACTTCTAGGAAGCGCATGACAACCAACACGGTCAAAATGGAATCCAATGTCTACCACACCCAAGGGAGTTTGGGAAAAGACGTGCAAATCCGGGAAATCAGGGGCGCCGGAATGGCATGCGTGAGAGTGAGAGGGTGTGCACTATGAGGCACATGTGCGAAACAAGCGGTGAGCCTTGCAGCAACGCATGCCACTTCTAGGAAGCGCATGACGACCAACACGGTCAAAATGGAATCCAATGTCTACCACACCCAAGGGAGTTTGGGAAAAGACGTGCAAATCCGGGAAATC